CCACACAACCAGCAAGCAGGAGAGCAGAAATTCAGACCCTCCAAGATTCTGGGTCCTGCCATCAAAGGCTTTGTCAGGTCTGAGGAATGGTAGAGAGACTGGGTAGTGATGGAGGTTGGAGGAAGAGTTCTAATATTATATCGTGTAGGCCGCCACCGCCTTTGCTCCCACTGAGCAATCACTAGGTAATTCTGAGGTGCTGGCCTTTCCAAATGTACAGGCTTCTGGTTTTTAAGGCCAGGGCTCCACTTCCCACCTGGCGGTGGCTGAGATCTAGGCCATCCTCATTTACCCCCTTCTCGGCCCCTTCAGACACAGGGAAATCCAGCTCATCCAGAGAAATTGGACTGCTTCGTGGACTCAGGGAGACACGAGGCTTGTGGTCATTGATGTCTTCCTGGGCTCCAGCTGTGAGATATGCACTCCCAGGCTGTGCCGCTGCTGAGGCAATTGAATGTCATGGTCAAGAACAGACTTTTGGCCCTAGCTGGTTTGGCTCAGTGGATAGAGCATCGGTCTGCGGACTGAGGGGTCCCGGGTTCGATTCCGGTCAAGGGCATGTGCCTTGGCTGCAGGCACATCCCCAGTGGGGGTTGTGCAGGAGGCATCTGATCGATGTTTCTCTCTCATCGATGTTTCTAACTCTCTATCCCTCTCCCTTCCTCTCTGTAAAAAATCAATAAAATATATTTAAAAAAAAAAGAACAGACTTTTGGAGTCAAGGCTACATTTGACCACTGGATCTTCCACTTCCTGACGAGGTGACAACTGGACACCTAAACTTACCCTTTCAGAACCTCACTTGCCCAATCTGTACCTCCAGGCATGTTGTAAGGATGGACAGTAATGTCAATGAACCACCCCTCACAGTGCCTGACACATAGTAAACTCCCAGTGGCTGTGACACATTGTTATTGTAGCTCCAGGAGCTTCCTGCACTCCCCTCCAAGAAGGCAACAGCCAAAGTGTCCCCATGGCAAGAAGAGCCTGTAGCTCCTCGCCAGCAGACCCTGCTGCCATGGTACCCACCCACTGGGGACCCACCTTCTGAGCATAGGAGAGCTGGTTGTAGGTCGCCATGGTGGCAGCTTCATTGGCACAGGCCTCTTGGGCTTTGTCAAAGGTCAGCTTATACTGGCCCAGAGGGGAGCGGAGATGGAACACCCCAACGGTGGTATCTAGATAGGGAAGGAGAGGAACCGCCCAGGTCAGTATTTCCGGCAAAGAACTTTGAAGAACGTTCAAAGCAGAAGGCCAGCTACCGAGTCTCTGTATGTGGAATCATCCATTTGTCCCTTTGTGTCTGGCTTATTTCATGTAGCATGTTTTTCAAGGTGTGATCATGTTGTAGCACGTGTCAGAGTTCCATTCCTTTTCAAAGCTGAATACTCTCCCGCTGTAGGGATAGACTGCATTTTGTTTACCCATTCATTTGGGGATGGGCATTTGGGCTGTTTCCACCTTTTGGCTATTGTGCATAATGCTGCTGTGAACATGGGTGGACAGATATCTGTTTGAGTCTGGTTTCAATTTTTCTCTATTCTTCTCTCATTTCAATTGGATCGTCAGCATGAGATAAATTACTGTCTTCTATCTTATTAGTTTTTTTTCCTGGTCTTATGAATTAAAAATTTTTTTCAAAAATTTTTAGAAATTTTTGAATTTCTCACTTAGAATGTCCTTCTAAGTAGACAATGTCATTATCCTATGTGTTTTCCCTGCTTTTATGCACCCTCTAGATCATCCCCAAATGATGTCGTAGGATGGACAGTAATGTTAACAAACCACCCCTCACAGTGCCTGACGTATAGTAGACCCCCAATGGTGTCTTAGGGCTTAATTTATTTTATGGACTGAATGTTTGTGTCCTCCTCAAATTCCTATGTTGAAATCTTAACCTCAATGTGATGCTATTAGAAGGTGGGGCCTTCGGGAGGTAAGCAGGTCATGGGCGTGGAGCCTGCATGAATGGGCAGAGCCTTTATGAAAAGGACCACATTACTGCCTTGTGAGGACACAAGAAGTTGGCCGTCTGCAGCCTGGAAGACAGTCCTTACGAGAACCTACTGTGCTGGCTGGCACCCTGACCTTGGACTTCCTCCTCTAGAACTGGGAGGAATCAATTTCTGTTGTTAATGATCCACCCAGTCTACGGTACTTTGTTGTAGCAGCTCGAATGGACTAAGACAGTACATAACAGGCCTTACGTCGATAGTTATTATTGAGATGCTAAGAACTGCCTCACTAAAGCAAATCCAACCCCGTCAGAGACGTCCGTTGGTCATAGGTGAGGTGGCCTGAATCACTTTCTGAGACAGAGCCCTCCTTGCCTTGGTTCAGAACTCGTCTGTGGGCCCTTCATGGCTTTCCTCCATCAGGTTTCAAAATGCCCTGTCAGCCGGGCCTCTGTACTTCGTTTTATGACACCTGTGGGGTTATTATAAGCCATCCACATCGTCCTTGGAAGTAGGTGGGCCTATGCCACTCAGTGTGCTACTATCCAAACGACTGCGAGGAAATTGATTCTGCTCCTGGCAGCCACTTCCTCTTTGTTATTTAAACCCTTGATTATGCTCTTTTCCAATTAAGGGTTGCAGGGATTGCTAAGCAACTTGAGGAAACAAGTATCAGGAAAATTCACGGTAGAGGACCTTTGAGCTCCTGTCTCATTCTCAAGGCTCAGGGTACAATTCTGAGTTTACTTGCCCCTCCACTCAGGGGTCCTGGGGCTCCAATTTTTTATGTTTTAAAAGGTTCATTAACTTGCCAATTTTTTAAAATCCTTCCCAGAGGATATTTTCTCTATTGATTTCCAGAGAGAGTGGAAGGGAAGGAAGGAGGGAGGGGGAGAGAGAGATATCACCAGGAGAGAAATGCATCAACTGGCTGCCTCCTGCACACACCTGGGGATGGAATCTGCAACCGAGGTATGCGCCCTTGATTGGGAATTGAATCCATGACCCTTTGGTCTATGGCAGGGGTGGGCAAACTTTTTGACTCGAGGGCCACAATGGGTTCTTAAACTGGACCGGAGGGTCGGAACAAAAGCATGGATGGAGTGTTTGTGTGAACTAATATAAATTCAAAGTAAACATCATTACATAAAAGGGTATGGTCTTTTTTTTTTTTTTTTTTAGTTTTATTCATTTCAAACGGGCCGGATCCGGCCCGCGGGCCGTAGTTTGCCCACGGCTGGTCTATGGGCTGACACTCAAACCACTGAGGCAAACTGACCAGGGCAAGTTGTAAAATTTAACGCAGTTAAAATTTTTACTTTTTAAAAGTTAAATTGTTTTTCTTTTCCTCTTGCGCAGACCCTCCCCCCACCCCCCATATCCTCCCACCGCCTGAAGACCAGGTGCTTTGGGCCCGCAGCCCCTCGCCACACTGACCCTGGAAGTGGAGGTCGGTACAGTGGGCATCGGCATGGCACTGCCCGTTGTCCTGCAGGCAGCGGTCGATGGGCAGCTGCTCCGGCTGGCAGTCCACCCCGTCTCCGACGTAATGACTTTTACACTCACACTTGTGCCTGCCCTGTGGGGAGAACGGAAAGGTGAAAAAGCCCCCTGTCTGGGACCCAGGACCCCCTAGTGCTCTGCGGCCCACCATCCAGCATAGGAAATGTTCAGAAGGATCGAGAATATATGCCTCTCCTGTCCAGTGGGAAAGAAGTAACCGCCACGTCGTGTTTGTTCAGGATCATGATGAAATGCCGTCCTTTACATCTCAGCTCAGGGGAGCCTCCCTGACCCCTCAATAAGGCAGCTCCCATGCCTCTGCCACACTGGCCGGGTCACGTTCTTCCTGACCCTTGGGGCGCCCCGAGAGTGTCTTGTGCATGAGTTCTGCACTGAGCACCGCCCCTCCCTCTGCTCGAATACAAGCACTTTATTGCGACATCCCTGGCACCTGGAACAGCACATAGTAGGTGCTTGATGACCATTTGTTGAATCAGTGAATGATCTCAATTGATCCCACAACAATCCTATGGGATCTGCATTATTATGAGGCCCACTTTGCAAATGAGGAAACAAAGGCTCAGAGAGGTTAAGTAGCCAGCCTCAGGCCACACAGCGTGTAAGTCTGGGAGCTGGGACTCAAAAGCTGTCTGACTCTGAGTTCATGTTATAACCACTGTGGACATTATCTCCCACCATCTTCTCTTCCCACCAGATAAACAGGGCTCCAGGCGCTGGTTCCATTCTAAAAAGACTTGAGGGCCTACCCGGTTTGGCTCAGTGGATAGAGCGTCGGCCTTTGGACCAAAGGGTCCCAGGTTTGATTCCGGTCAAGGGCACATGCCTGGATTGCGGGCTCGATCCCCGATAGGGGGCGTGTAGGAGGCAGCCAATCAGTGATTCTCTTTCATTATTGATATTTCTATCTCTCTCTCCCTCTCCCTTCCTCTCTGAAATCAATAAAAATATATTTAAAAAAAGAGAAAAAAAGCAGAAGGTGGCCTGTTGTACCTGTTTTTTTTTTAAAAAATAAAAATAAAAATATAAATATAAATAAATTAATTAAAAGGCTCGAGGGAGTGCCCAAACCTGCACTTTCCTGCCACCTCTTACCAACTCCTTTTGTTTTAATAAACGTTTGAGTTTGGATGATTTTAGATGTACAGGAAAGTTGCAAAGATAGCAGAGAGAGTTCATCCCATCTGCCCTCCACCAGCCTCCCCTAATGTTAACATCTTACGTCACCATGGTACACGGGTCAAAGCTAAGAAATCAGCGCTGGTCCATTACTATGAACTAAACAATAGACTTCCTGTGGAGTTCACCAGTTTTTCCACGAAGGCCCTTTTCTGGCTTAGGATGCCGCCTCGCCCTTCGCTCGCCGACTTCACGAGAAGTAGACCGAGGTGGGAAGAAAGGGTAGAAAGAGGCCGAACGGGAAGCAGAGGGGAGAAGAGGCCGAGTGAGGCCCCAGAAGCTGATCTTGGGGAGACAGACTCACCGGGCCGGTCATCCTGCAGGTGGCATGCTCATGACACCCCCCGTTGAGGCCGTCCGCACAGGGGTCTACCTCCGAGCAGCTGCGACCGTCCCCCTTGTAGCCCTTCGGGCAGCTGCAGGAGACCTTGGTGCCCTTCTGGGAGCACTTGGCGACCTTCGCACAGCCCCCGTTGTTCTGTTTGCAGAAATCCACCACTGCAAGAGCAGGGAGAGAGGGCTCATGAGCCACTGTCTGCGCAACGGGCTTCAGATTGGGCTGTGGGTCACCTCAGGGTCAGTGGCCCCAACATGTTGGCGCCCTCTCCCCCCAGGCCCTGTGGCCTCTGAGTTAGCCTTTGCAAACCCTACTATCCTGTGGCTAATCCTCTCAAAGATCAGGCCTGACGACATCAGCCCACCTCTGCCCCTTGTCACATACTGCTAGCCTCCACTTGGGTAGCACTTTTCTGCGTGAGTTTGGGTGTTTAATGTTAGGACGGTCATGCGTGTATATGTGTGTGTGTAGAGTTAGCCCACGACAGAGGACGTGTGAGATAGACATGACCCCATTCTACAGATGAGCAAATTGAAACTCAGAGACCTTCACTGATCTGGTGAAGGCAAAAGAGCTAGAACGTGGCGGGGCTGGGATGTCAACCCAGGTTGGTTTGACTCTGAAGCCTGTGCTGTCCCCACTGTTGTGCTGCCTCTTATCACCTTTGTTTTCACAATCCCCCAAATTTCAACCCAGTCACAGATTAGCTCTAGCCTCAGGAGTAGCTGGAAAGCCATCTGATTTCTCTTACCTGCCTTTTGGCCTAGAGTTGTTGCAGCCACTTGAGACCCTGAGAGAATGGACATTAGGACAAAGGCCTCCCCCTAAGGATGGGGGGGTAGAAAGACAGACCTGGGACTCTGCTGCCATTGTTGAGGGCTGAACCATTTCTGGACTGCCTTGTGGCAGATTACCAAACAGCAGGCCTAGCCCTAGTTGGTTTGGCTCAGTGGATAGAGCGTTGGACTGCGGACTGGAAGTACCTAGGTTCAATTCTGGTCAAGGGCGCCTGCTCAGGTTGCAGGCTCAATCCTCCAGTAGGGGGCATGCAGGAGGCAGCTGATCGATGATACTCTCTCATCACTGATGTTTCTATCTCTCTCTTCCTTTCCCTTCCTCTCTGAAATCAATAAAGATTTATAAAACAAAACAAAACAAAAAAACAGCAGGCATAGTGAGATCTCATTTTTTGTAAGGAAAGTTTATATCTCTGTGAATAATTATTATTTTTTTAAAAAATATATTTTATTGATTTTTCACAGAGAGGAAGGGAGAGGGACAGAGTTAGAAACATTGATGAGAGAGAAACATCGATCAGCTGCCCCCTGCACACCCCCCACTGGGGATGTGCCCGCAGCCAAGGCACATGCTCTTGACTGGAATCGAACCTGGGACCCTTCAGTCCGCAGGCCGACGCTTCATCCACTGAGCCAAACCGGTCAGGGCTCTGTGAATAATTATTTGTGAAAAAAGAAAGTACTTGTGGCCAAGACTATTCACTTCCCCTAGTACCTATTGTCTCCTTTATAGATTTTTAGTTGGGCTCATGGTTGCCCAATGAAAGACTGTATTTCCCAGGCTTCCTTGGTACTACATGTGATAGATAATGAGGGTACAACCGATGGGATAGAAGCAGACAGGATTTTAACAACTAGTAGGTGTGCCCTTAAATCTCCTTCCTCCCCCTCTTGCTGCCTGGGATGTGTTTATGGTGGTAGCTATCTCAGGTCAGGCAACTGAATGATGGCAGAGCAACAAGATAGAAGGAGTCTGGGCTCCCAGATGACCTTTCAGAGTGATACCTCATGTTAGCCCTGGATGCCTCCATCCAAACTGTTCTATGAGATAAAAATAAACACCTAAACATCAGCCATATTTATGCCACCGTTCCTTTGGGTCTCCGTGTGGCTGAACTCATATCCTCACTACTAAATACAGACATTGCCATGTTCAGAGTGGTTTTTACTAAATAGTGGGAGTATGTGTAGTTTTAACTATTTTTTTAAATACTATAATGTATATTCTGAATTTTTTGAAGACTGGAATACTCCTAGAGTTAGAAAAAACACTACAAAATAAAGTGCAACACAGTCTGCAAAGCAATTTCAAACCATGACCTGGGGGGTGGGCAGGTCAGGTGTAAGCAAACCCATTAAAGAAACTGAGTCAGAGACGGGATAGGTATTGCCAAGTGGCCCAGGTAGGAGGTAGAAGGGCCAGGATGGAGCCCGGACACTATGACTGTTTCCCACATGCACAAATGGGACCCACCTGTGCACGTTATTCCGTCGCCTTCATAATTCAGGTTACACTCACACGTGTTGTTCTCCTTACAGGTAGCGTGAGCAGAACAAGGAGGTGTGCACACTGGGGGCAAAGCTGCAAAGAAAAAGGTCACCGTTCATCCTGTGTCATGGTGAGAAGAGGTGAGGCCCACTTAAGCTGTCTCCCCAAGACTCCCCTCTGGCTTGCCACTGTGTTTCACAAGTGTCCCCTCATAGCCGAGGAATGGGGTCATTTGCTAAGGTCCTTCTAGCCTGGAGATCGCTGGCCCTCACAACAACCCTCCCCCCGACCCCACTGCAAAATGTGAAACACACACTTCTTTTCAAAGGATGAGCACATCAAGGCTCAGAGCGGGCCACTGGTCTGGAAAGTAGCAGAATCTGGAACCAGATCCAGGATTCCCGACTGCATTTCCTATGAAAGCACTCAGCCTTGGGGCCTAGGACCACAATCCCGGGGCCCATCCCTGCCCGATCCTGTATTCTTTGCCTGAGGTGGGTCCTCTGTGACTGCACAGGACTGCATGCTAGTTTCATGGGTTTGCATGAAATATTTTCATCTACGTTTCTTTCAAGTCACCACACTTCCTGAGGCCTGGGGCCACACATCCAAGTCAGCTTTTCATGTGGCGAAGGGAGCACCTGCTGTGCTGCCTTTTTTTTTTTTTTCAGGTGGTGCTCAGACCCAACCTGACTTGGACGCTCAGGGCAAGGTTCCTGACCCCTGGTGCTGCGGGTGGCTGCTCACACCCATGACAGACCTGCCTGCGTGTCACAGAAGCGGCCGGTCCACCCAGCTTCACAGAGGCACTGTCCGGAGCCTGTGATCCCCTCATCACACTGTCCGTGGTCTGAGCAGCCACAGGCTGTAAAGCAAATTGTGATCAGTGATCAGTGATTAGGGATTGAAATCCAATCAACCAGCTCACTCGCCACCTGTTGGCTGCATTGTTGGTGTGGGAGGCAGCCTGCTTGTGTCATAGTCACTCGCTCATTCATCCATCCAGACATTCAAAAAACAACTGATTCAGTGGCTATCTTGGGGCAGACATGGCTGGGCAATGAGGTTACATCAGAAAACAGAACAGAAGAGGGAGAGAACCTTATCTGGGGCCCCCCTAACAGAGAAATCTATTTAACAGTAAAATCTTCAAGATATGTACCAATTCTTTCACTTCTCGCCACCCCCAGCACCACCACAGCCCCAGACAATACCAGCTCTCACCTAGGTTGTGGCATTAGCTTCCCTAAAGGTGAACCTGCTTCTGTGCTTCTCTCCAGCAGTGTATGCTCCACAGGGCAGCTGAGCCATCTTTTCTAATCTGCTCCTGACACTCCTCCCTTCATAACCTTCCACTGGCCACCATCACACTCAGAGCAGATGCCATAGATCTTTCTTGGGCTAAGATGCCTCCATGTGACCTGGCCCCTGGCGACCTGCAGATTTCATGCTTTCCTTTCTTCTTCTTCTGTGCTCACTCTGCTCAGCCACTCTGGCCTCTTTGCCGTTTGTTTCATGGCAAGCCTGCTCCTGCCTCAGGGCCTTTGCGCTTGCTCATCTCTCTTTTACCATTCCCTGTACCTGCTTCTTTGTATTTATACCTTTACTAGAGGCCCGGTGCACCAAATAATGCACAGGTAGGGTTCCCTAGGCCTGGCCAGTGATCAGGGCCAATCTGTGGGGTGACTGGCAGGGCGATCAAGTGGGGGGCGGGGAGAGCCCCACTGGCACCCACCTTGGCTGGCCTGGCGCTGCCCACTCACCAGCCCCACCTCCCACCACTGCTGCTGGTCTCCTCCTTCAGCGGGGGCCCTCCTCCCATCCTATCACCCCACTGGTCATCCCTTTGTTGCTCCCTGGTGGTTCCACCATTCGGTCGATTTGCGTATTAGACTTTTATTATATAGGATAACTATTTTTTGTTTCTGCAGTTTTTATCTGTTTTCTCCCTTTGAATACACACCCTTTGAGAGCTGGGGCTTTGCCCCCTCCTACACCACTGTGTCCTTACAACTTAGAACAATTCCTGGCTGTTAAGCCTCTGAGTGCCTTAGTTTCCTCTTCTGCTAAGTGGGAATAACAACAGTACCCACCTCAAAGTGTTGCTGTGAGGTTTAAATGGTAAAACGGATCTGCCTGGCACATAGTAGGCACTCCATAAACTACTAGCTATCAGTATTCGTAAGGACTGAATAATACATGTTGGTTGAATAACTGAATGAATGAATGTTGCTCAGCCACAGCTTGTCTTGGTGGCTGCAGGGGATGTGAGCTCACTTTCAGAGATGCAGCTCTTTCAGTGGATGGAAATGCGCACACATCTGAGGGGGAAGGGCATGTAAGGGGAGGCAGATGGGGGTGGGGGGTGGGAGAGGGGAAGACGCATGCTTCCAGGGCAGGAGACGGGTGTGGATCAGGGCAGGGAGTACTCAGTGGAACAAGAGGCTGAGCAGGGGCGGGGGTGCCACCTACGCTGACAGTTAGGCCCGAATCTCCCTGGCCAGCACAGCTCGCACGCTGTCCCGTTGAAGCCAGTGTTGCATTTACACTCTCCCGTGGCCCAGTACTGGTCAAGGCAGACACCCCGGTTATTACACGGGGCATCTGGTCCTCCGGGGCAGGCTGGAAGAGACAAAATTACAGGGACTCAACAGCCTCCCCAGCATTTGTAAATGCACTGCTAACCCATCCGCAGCTGTGGGCTCTGAGCTCCATTAGCCCAGAGGGACTGTGGCCCTGGGGACATACCCACACGATGTCTCAATGTGTAGGGCAAACCGCTGAACTTAAATGTATCTGATGGGGTTCTACCATGGCAGGGTGATACCCTGAACTGTGTACTGTATTTGGGCATGAATAGATCTGGGCTGAATAATGAACATGCTCTGAGGTTCAGATCTCTTAGCTCTAGATGATGATGATGATATGATGATGATGATGATGATTATGATGATGATAATATGCCCTACCACATTGTGACATGAAGATCCAACGAGGTACTATAACTTAGAACATTTTAAAACTATAAAGCACTGAGCAAATGGAACGGTCCACACTTTAGTGATGGAGAGTGGAGGCTGGGTGAATGCGTGGACTCCCAGCCCAGAATTCTCTCAACTGAACCGGAATAAATGGACCTTGGGCTTGCTTCTCATTCTCTCTGTGCCTCCATGTTCTCACCTGTAAAATTGGGATGGCAGTGTTATCTACTTCTTAGGGGCTTTGAGGTTTAAATATGAAGATGTATATGGGAAGTAGCACCCATGTGTGGCCGATAGGAAGTGCCTTGCATTTGCTATGCTGCTGTATTATTGTATCTAGACACAGGGGATTCAGGATGGGGCCCAAATGCCCTTTGACAAGGAGCCCTTTCCTGGTGAAGAAAGGGAGGACTATGTTGTATTTCCAGTAACAGGGGGGTTTTCTATTGAGAATGGCCCAAACATATCATGTTAGTCTAGCACCCTGCCAGG